ATTGAGCCTGCAGCTGAGCCCACACCCGAGACACACACCCTTGACCTGAATCGAATCTGGGACCCTTCGGTCTGCGGGCTAGCCCTCTGTCCACTGAGCCAAACCGGCTAGGGCAAATGCTTTTCATTTTTATTTCTCTTGTTTTCAGGTTGCTACTTTTCCTCACTAACTCCGTTTATATTTTGAAAAGAAGGTATATACATGGTTTTTCAGTTCTCTTAGGGGTAACCTAAAAATTTCAAGACATATTTGACTCTGAAAAAAATAATTTGTTTACAGTTTCTTTTCTAAGGTGAGTACAATTTAACGTTCTTCTACTTTTCCTTTTCCCCACGTATTTTTTCTCTAACCTAGAATTTTAGACTAGGATTTATTACAGAGAATCCTGAAGCCAACTTACTTGCCTCCTTCTATAGACAACCTGTTTTCTCCTGCTGGTTGCTTTGTAGGAGTCAGAAGTTTTATGAGCATACTAGAGGCCCAATGCATGAAAATTCATGCAAGAGTAGGCCTTCCTTCTGCTGGCTGCCGGCACCGGCTTCCCTCTGGCACCCTGGACCTAGGCTTCCCACCTCCGGCTGCCAGCAGACAACCAGGACCCGGGCTGTTTCCCCCCTCCAGCTACCGGCTGGTACCCGGGACCGGGGCTGGCTTCCCTCCGGCCCCGGCTTCATCAGGAAGGATGTCCGGAAGACGTCTGGTCTAATTAGCATATTACCCTTTTATTATTATAGATTATAGAAGGTTAGGGGGGTTCATTTTTTTTTTTAATGAATTTTTCCTGGTCTGTGGGGAACCTCCATTTTTAAGATCCAGTTCTCTTGAGCTTCTGTAATATATTTTTTATTATTGCACAGTTCTACTTCCTGAGTCTTTTATTCAGGAATGTCATTTACTTGTATATTGGCCTCTCTCTTCTCTGTCCTTTTATATCTACCCTCGACTGCCTCAGTTTTGTCTGTGTTTTGGGAACTTCTCTAGTTGTTCTATGTTACTAACATCATTCAGAAAAGTCGGTTCTGTGCTTTCCTTCTAGTGTATTTTTTTTTAAAGATTTCAAGCAAAAATAATGTGTAGAGACTTTAACAAATACCTATACACATTTACCTTCAGCTTTGTTGCATCTAATAGAGTAAGTACAGTATTTTACCGTATGTGCTTCAGAACTTTACGTTGGTAAGTTTAAATCCCTATGTACTCCTGTTCAACATAACTCCTACCCTGATTTTGGTTTTGGTCCTTATCATTCTTATGCCTATTTATTGCACTGTATATATCATGTAAATAATGGGGCCAATGTGTCTTTAAATTGTGTGTGAATGGTATACTGTACAGTTTCTTTTTTCACTCATCGTTATGTTGTTGAGAGTTATCCATGTTGATACTTAGAGCAGCAGAGTGGTGACTTCTAAGTAAGCCCACTGGCATGGGTAGTGAGGGATGAGGTGAGCCTTTCTTTCCATTCTTGCAGAGTGACACAGGCTAGAGGGTGGTCCTAATTGGTTCATTCACTGCAGCTGTGGTATAGGATTCCATTGTATGAATATACTCCAGTTCTCCTATTGATGGATATGTAGGTTCTACATGTTTTGTGGTGGATAATAATATCTCTTTAAACATTCTTGAACCTTTGTCTCTGGGCACACATGCAAGATATTCCCCTGGGGTATGGACCTGGGAGTAGAATTGCTGGGGTACATTACTAGCTATTACCAAATTGCTTATTGTTATGGTTTTACCTGTTTACATTTTCACTAGCAATGTGCTAGCATTCTTGTAAATTCTATATTTTTATTGTTGGACTTAACATTTTTTTTGGTCTGGTGGGTATGATAGGGAATGTTACTGTGGCTTCAATGTGTTTCTCTGATTACTAATGAGATACAGAATATCTTTTCAAGGATTTTTTTGAACATTCAAATTCCTGTGATAATTGTCTCTGTATCCTTTGCTTATTTTTTAAAAGCGTTGTCTTTTTTGTTACTTTATCCTCACCCGAGGATATGTTTATTGATTTTAGAGGAAGGAAGGGAGAGAAACATCAATATGAGAGAGAAACATCAATTGGCTGCCTCCTTTGCACTCACTGTTTGGGAATCGAACCCACAATCATTTGGTATGCGGAATGATGCTTCAATTGAGCCACCCGCCTGGACGGGTTGTATTTTTCTTAATGATTGAGCATTTTTTATGTATGTGATCATCTTATATCTGTAGGTTGCATAGCTCTTTGTGGCCTTGTCTTTTCACATGTGGCATTTGACAGAGCGATTAACATTTATTTTTAAAAATTGATTTGAGAGAGATTAAGAAATGAATTTGCAGTTCCACTTATACAAGCATTCTTTGGTTAATTTTTGTATATGCCCTGATCAGGGATGGAACCTGCAACCTTGGCATATCAGACAACATTCTAACCAACTGAGCTAACAGCCAGGGCCTATAATAGAATCTTTTGATATTTTCCTTTATAGTTTGTGCTTTTTGTATCTTTAGTAAAAAAATCCTTCACTCTGCTAAGGTCAGAAAGATCGTCTCTTCTAAATATTTGGCTTCCCATTTAGTCTTTAATTTACCTGGAATTTGTTTCTTAATGTGGTATGAGGGGCAGTATAATTTTTTCCCCTACATGGACAGGTTTTGGCTCAGGACTGCTTTATTAGTCAGTCCATCCTTTTCTTACGGAGTTGTAATGACAGCTCTATATTGAGTTATCATAGATCGATGGAGTGACAGTGTTGTTTAATTCTCTAATTAACATTAATTTTGTGTTATTATATCCTTTCCATATGTAGTTCAGTACCTTTATTATTTTTAATGCTTTCTTTTTATTTGTCCATTCATTCAACCAGTCAGTCAAGAAATACTTAACTGAATGCCTGCTACATGCTGGACACATTATTAGGCACTGAGATACAGCCATTAAAACAGTCACTGCCTCCTACAGCTAAATATCTAGTGGAGGAAAAACACATAATCAACACTATCCAGTAAATTGATAACATATCCAAAGATGATGAAGTGGTACATAGATGTCATTTGAAGGAATGTGTATAGTGAGTATACTGTTTTATAGAGGGGTCAGGAAAGGCCTAATTGGTAAGAAATCTGAAGAATGAGAGGGAATAAATCAGCTGGCAGTCTCTGAGGGAAGAGAATTCCAGGCAAAGGAGGAACAGGTGCAGGGCTCCGAGGTGGCGCACACTCGACATACAAGTAGTTTAAACCGACTGAGTTTATAGTCTGGGATTAAGTACCTAAAATTTTAAGGGTGAGGCCTCCGTTTTATTGTCTGCTGATTCTCATTTATGATCAGAAAAAACTGTTCTCTAAATTTGTGTTCTCCAGTCCTATGTGGCATTTGGGTTTTAAGATTTTTCAGATATTGTGTAGTCAGTTCTGTAATGTGTCAACAGGTGTATTATCGCAGCCTTTATTGTTACTCTTCAAAAAATGGATCTTTAGCCGAAACCGGTTTGGCTTAGTGGATAGAGCGTCGGCCTGCGGACTGAAAGGTCCCAGGTTTGATTCCGGTCAAGGGCATGTACCTGGGTTGCGGGCACATCCCCAGTAGGAGGTGTGCAGGAGGCAGCTGATCGATGTTTCTCTCTCATCGATGTTTCTAACTCTCTATCTCTCTCCCTTCCTCTCTGTAAAAAATCAATAAAATATATTAAAAAAGATGGATCTTTAAAATGGGTCTTTAAATTTGGTCTGTGAGTTTCCATCTCATGAGTCTGATATTCTCTGGTTTCTTACTTACTACATTGCTTTCTTTGCTTAAAACTCTTTCTTTTTTTCTTTTTTTAAAAAATATATTTTATTGAATTTTTACAGAGAGGAAGGGGAGAGATAGTCAGAAACATCGATGAGAGAGAAACATCGATCAGCTGCCTCCTGCACATCTTTCATTGGCCCTAGACTTTCTTTGTTGTTAACTCATTCTACTTTGAGTTTTATCTTCACAGTATCTGCTAAATATTAGTTTCAAATGCTTAATCAGTGTGTGGACTCAAACTTATTTAAAAAGTGGGAAAAAGTTTGTCATTTAATTAGACATTGCGAGGTTGTGATTTATAGGAAATACATATATGGTCATTCAGATGACCAAATATATATTTCTCACATATACTTATGTGGTTTGTACAGTTCCTGGCTCTCAGCTCCCAAACCCTCAGAATTTCCTAAGTGTTGAGAGTTAGAAAAAAAAAAAGAAAGAAAAAGAAGAGTGAGCAAAGTTTTGTTATGTTAATGAGGCGTTTTGGAAGTCCCTGAGGACCTAGGCTCGCTGCCAGTGGGAGCCAATCATATGATTAAAGGTTGGTTGGAACTTTCACTCTCACCTCCTGACCTCCTGGAAGGGAAAAGAGGCCAGTGGTCAATGGTTTAATGTCATACCTATGGAATGAAGCCTACATAAACCCGAAAGGATGGAGTTTGGAGCGCTTCTGGTTTGAACTTGTGGAGGTGCTAGGACAGTGGTGTACCTAGAGAGAGCGTGGAAGCTTCACACCCCTTTCTATGTGCCTTGCCCAATGCTTCTTCGTCTGGCTGTGCCTGAGTTATATCCTTTTATAATAACCAGTAATCTAGTGAGTAAGATGTTTCTCTGAGTTCTGTGAGCTGCTCTAGCAAATTAATCAAACCCAAGGAGGGGGTCCTGGGGCCCTCTGATTTATAGCCAGTCAGAGGTACAGACAACCACCTGGATTTGCAATTGGCATCCTGAGTTGGAAGGGTAGTTAGATAACTCCAGTTTGTAGGTACTCTGTCAGAAGCCCAGGTTACAACCAAGCCCAGGTGACACATTCTCTCTCTCTCTGAAATTGGGTCCAGGAAACAATGTAGATGTTAATCTACCAGAATTGTCAGGCCAGGAGTACTTCAGTATTTTGGTTCCTGGAAAAAAGAAAAATGAGTGGGGTAGGTTGGCCAGTTCTCTGACTCGCTTTCTGTATTGCACTTGTTATATCCCAGCAACGCTCTTATTTCCTTCTCAGTGGAAGAGAAAGCCAACACCCGCCTCCTCCTCGGCATGTGCTTAGATGCTTATGCTCGCTACCTTCTGTCCTCCAAGCAGCCATCGCAGGCACAGAGGATGTATGAAAAAGCTCTGCATATTTCTGAAGAAATACTAGGAGAAAGACACCCACAGGTAAGAGAGGAAAACAGGTTTCAGACTTTCTGGGTGTGAAATGCCTCATTATTGGGGATGTCATCAGCAGGTGGTCCTTGGGATGCCCTCCTCCTCATGCCCCAGTCCATTCATCTCCTACCACTCCCCGCCCCCACCTGCTTGTTGAGGAAGGATTTGGGACTGCTGGTCACTGGCTGGGTCTCCCAGAACCTTTTGAGGGAGAATTGGTTCCCACAGCAGAGCAACCTCTCTAAAAGCAGGTCTGGCCAGGCACCCAGGTGCTTCTGGGCTTCATAATACACAGCACAGTATTTCAGAATATTGAATCTGACGTGGAACAGATCCTGAGGATCCTTGCCTCCCTTGCCTCACAGGTGAATGACAGGAAATGGCGGGGGAGAGAGAGGGGCACATTAAAAAATATTTGTAAGACTACTGACAGAATTTAAGCAAAGCATGCTAAGCTTTCGGTTAGAACACTAAACACATGGAATTGAGTTGAAATCATCTCTGGGTCTCTCCTCTATCAAACAACGTTTGTAGAGGTAACAAGTGGACCACTTTGTGAACACTTGGTATTGCCAACACAATTTTAACTGGACTGGACATGTCTCAAGGTTGGGGTAGATGAGCAGGGCAAGTTATTGGGCTATGAATTACCTTCAGGAAAGGGATTTAGGGCTTAATTACAGAGTCCCCTTAATGGAGAAGAGGAGGACTTGCCTTTCTTAGTACCAACATTAAAAATTTTTTAATGGGAATCTTCCTAAAGTGGATGATATATTTCTTCTATTTTTTTTCTTTTTTTAAGAAAATATTTTTATTGATTTCAGAGAGGAAGGGAGAGGGATATAGAAACATCTATGAGAGAAAGTCATCAGTTGGCTTCCTCCTGCACGCCCCCTACTGAGGACTGAGCCCACGACCTGGGCATGTGCGCTGACCAGGAATCCAACCTTGACCTTCTGGTTCATAGGTTGATGCTCAGCCACTGAGCCACACTGGCTGGGCTATCCCTATTTCTTTTGATGAGTCTCAGGGTCACCAGTAGGAATGATATTATGCTACAATGCAGTGGCTGGCTTCTTAAGATTGCTGAACAGCTCTGGGCCCAGTAGCTCTGTTGGTTAGAGCCTCATCCCAGTATGCCAAAGTTTGGGTTCGATCCCCAGTGACAGCACATAAATACCAGCCAGTGAATGTATAAATAACTGGAATAAATAGATGTTTTTTTCTCTCTCTCTCTCACTCAAATCCATTTTTAAAAAGACTGCTGAACCTTAAATGGGATATTATAGCTTCTTTTTGCTATTATTTTTCATTTGTTTCTCATATAATTAGTTATATTAGTAAATTATATTTATCTTGTTCCTAGTTTCTAGATTTGTATTATTTTCCAGAGGGTTGAACTAAAGCTGCCCATTGTACAGTGTGAATGGTAAAGGCAACTGTTTGTAGTGGCTAATGCTCCTCCCCTTTTGTGGAATGCTAGGACAGGTGAAATCTTAAGTATATTTGAAGGTTATCAAACTCCAAATTAACGTTAAATCTCTGTGGGTGTTTTTTTAATAGAAAAAGCTGCCTGTTTGTCTTCCTTGTATAGACCATTGTGCTAATGAGTGACCTGGCTACCACCCTGGATGCACAAGGCCACTTTGATGAGGCCTGTGTGTACGTGCAGAGGGCGTCAGATCTGGCAAGACAAGTAGGACATCCTGAGCTGCACATGGTGCTGAGTAACCTGGCTGCAGTTCTGATGCACAGAGGTAGGGAGCTGTGTGATCTTGACCACTTGATTTCGTTAGGGAGGGTGTTACTGGATTTATAAATCTGTGAAATGGTGTTAAGCAGTGGCAAGGGGCAGTGAGGAAGCTCCACAATTAAAAGCTAGTTGAATAATACAAAAAAGGGTGTATGTTTGGCAGAAATACCATTGTGCTCAATTGACATAACTTCTGTAGTCCTGCACTAGCTTGCTGAACCACATCAGTGCAGAGAGAACTTTGCAATGATAGTACCTCAGTTCTGTAGTGCTTTACAGATTTCTAAATGTGTTCACACATACAACTTAATTTATTCTTCACTGTGTACTTATGAAGCTGGTAAGATGGAGTGTCAGTGTCTGTTAGACAGATAGTGCCATAGGACTCAGGGCCTCACCTATAATTCCCAGAAGCCTGGATGACAGGTCCTTTTTCCCCATGAGTGAAGCCCTGGGTCAGTGGAGTAAGGGCCCAGGGCTGTCCTGGGCGGTAGTACCACGGCACGCACTGGGCTAGAGTTCTCTACCTGTGCCCCTTACAACTTCTCTGAGCCAGCACCGACCTGTATCATCACTAGTGCTTTCTCTTCAGAATCACGTTAAAAGCATACATTTTTTTCTTATTCTCCCTTCTCTCTGGGTTATTTTAGAACGATATGCACAAGCAAAAGAGATCTACCAGGAAGCACTGAAGCAAGCAGAGCTCAAAAGAGATGAGGTTTCAATACAGCACATCAGGAAAGAATTGGCCGAGTTGTCCAGAAAAAGTAGACCTTTGACTTAATCAAGCTCTGAATCCCTTTTTGTTGTAGGAAATTTCCCAGTATCAGTGGCACCCAAATCAATGGCTTAAATGAGCGATTTTCAACCTGTTTGTTGCAAGAATTTTTAAAACCTGCAGTACCCGACTAGTCAGGGGCACTGACCTCTTTTCCCTTAGGTTGTTAAATAAAAAAGATTACAACAGCCAACACAACAGTAGCCGTCCAGTGTGAATGAATCAAAATTATACCTATTACTTTGTCAGATTGGCAAAAAATATATTTTTTTGGTGTGCTGCAGAATTTTCATACTCAGTTTATGTGCCACGAGATGAAGAGTTGAAAATCACTGGCTTAAACCCTTTGTCCTTGATCCTCAAGTGTCCTCAGCTTAGCCTCTGTGCAGGACAGGTTAAACATTGCACCTCCGCTTGTTTTTTACAGGAAAGGCAACTTTCACACCTGACTTTGACTTCTAAAGATGTCTGTCAAGTAGTGTTTCAGTGTAGCATACGTAGGTGCTCCATGCAGGTCTAATTGTAGATTAAGATGGGTCAGTTTCCCCTGGGTGGGTGTATAATTCACACAGGCATCTCTGCCATAAGAACAAATCACGGAGCAGCCACCTGCACCCAGAACCTCACCACAGGGTAGGCCCTACCGCATTCCTGGGGTGCTGACGTGTACCATAGGCCCAGCAGAGGAGTCGCAGGCCTGGACCCAACTCCTGGCTTTGGAATGGGGTCTCGGTACCCTCATTTGTAAAGTAAAGGACAAAAGAGATTCTTTCTTGGCCACAGAAGAAGGTATTTGGTCAAATGATCTAAATGAATAGATTGCTGTGTTGAAAGAACTCTATCATTTTTCCTCAGTCTAGAAAGTGTATACAGATACTCTTCAACTCATCATGGGGTTATGTCCTGATAAACCCGTCATAAATTGAAAATACCCTACGTCAAAAACACATTTAATATGCACCAGCCGGGTGGCTCAGTTGGCTGAAGTGTTGTCTCACACACCCAAGTGTGCGGATTCCATTCCAGGTCAGGGCACATACCTGGGTTGCAGGTTCCATCCCCAGTTGGGGAGCTTTCAGGAGGCAACCAATCAAAGTTTCTCTTTCTGTCTCCCTTCCTCTCTAAAATCAATAAACATATCCTCGGGTGAAGGTTTAAAAACAAGTATTAAAAACACCTAACCTAGTAAATAGTTTACCCTGCCAGTTTCTACTGAGTACCTATCACTTTTGCACCTTTGTAAAATTGAAAAATTGTTAAGTCAAACCACTGAAAGTCAGACTGTCTAAGTACAAGATGCATAGATGAGTGCTTTACCTTGCAAAGACCTGGTGGCTTCGGGAAAGGCAGTTTTTCTTCGCACCGTGAAGGAACACTTGTTACTGGTATTCCTTTGGGGTGGGTTATGAGTGGGAATGATAAACTATGTTTTTGGTTCCTATGTACATACTGGAAGAATCCTTTCATAATAAATTACTCTACAACAATATTGTACACATGCCGTAATTTTTGAGTTGCTCATAAAAAGTAACTTACTGAAGTTAATAAAAATAAAATACTAAGGTTCAAACCATTAGAGATTTGACTAAAACTAGAATTTTGTATTTTGCAGATGTAAGCTTCTCACTTTAAGCTCATCTATCTATTCTTGACCAGCCAGCTAATTCCTTTAGTTAAGTCTTAACTCAGAGATAAAGTGTAGTATAAAGCAGACTAGGTTTCAGTGTAGCCCATTCTTCATTTATTGATGATTTTAAAAAATTACTGTCAACTACTCACCTTCTGCATTGGGAATATTTTTACCTTTTCACAGTTGCAGGGGTTACTGGAAGTTAGGTTTTTCACTTCAGGTTTTATTAAGAATTTTTGATCCTCCACGATTCAACTCATGGACCTGGTGCTGGAAAAACTAGTTTTCAGAAAGATGGTCGCTTCCTGTGGGTATTCTCATTCTAGAGTGTTAGGGCATGCTTTTATTTTTTTATATGCTTTTTATTGACTTCAGAGAGGAAGGGAGAGGGAGAGAGAAACATCAATGATGAGAATCACTGATCGGCTGCCTTCTGCATGCCCCCTTCTGGGGATCGAGCCTGCAACCTGTGCATGTGCCCTTGGACGGAATCAAACCTGGACCCTTTAGTCTGCAGGCTTATGCTCTACCCACTGAGCCAAACCAGCTAGGGTGTGTGTTTAAAGTAGGATCACTCAGCATACCAAAATGAAAGCTTTATGAAATCTCCCATTACAAACATGCTCTGGAAGTTGGGCTGTCAGAATACTTCCATGGAGGGCATTAGGAAAACCTGGTGCTGAAAAATCATGCGAAATCAGAAAAAGTAGACCTCTGACTTAAGTTCTGAATCCCTTTTTGTTGTAGGAAATTTCCCAGTATCAGTGGCACCCAAATCAATGGCTTAAATGAGCGATTTTCAACCTGTTTGTTGCAAGAATTTTTAAAACCTGCAGTACCCGACTAGTCAGGGGCACTGACCTCTTTTCCCTTAGGTTGTTAAATAAAAAAAGTTACAACAGCCAACACAACAGTAGCCGTCCAGTGTGAATGAATCAAAATTATACCTATTACTTTGTCAGATTGGCAAAAAGTACTTCAGAACACCGAGATCTCAGCCTGCAGGGAGTGTTACACCTGGTTTACAGCCAACTTCAAGTCAGCGGGCACTCAGTGCTGTGCTGGCCACCTCCAGTCATGCTGAGGCGGACTTCTAGCCTCCAGATTTGCTCCTTAGGTAAGGCATGTGAGAATTCGGAAATCTCTTCTCTGGGTGAAAGCAGATGAAGGAAACACATGCACTGTGACAGGATGGGATGAGGGATAGTAGCTGCTCACTGGGGGGCTAGGTGGGGCTGCAAAAGGACAAGTTAGGCTCTGACGTATTCTCAGAAACTATTCTGACTTGGAATAGCTTAAGACCTTCAAGGTCATAGGGAAATACCATCCTCATCTCGCTTGGGTCAGTTGACAATGTAAATTATTAATGACATCAGTACCTAAAAAACCAAAAAAACAGAACACTGTTAAGTAGAACATTCAGTTATTTTCTCATTCACATTAAATTGTGTAGGATATATTTATAATAAAGTGAAACCAACTTTCCACATAGTAGAAATCTGATCACTAAACCTGACCTAAGGTTTATTTTGAGGACCTAAGGTATACAAGAGTGGAATAGCAACAGGAGTGAAGGCTTTCACTTCAGACAAACAGGAGTTCATGGCCTGTCTTTGTTGCCTATTAACTATATGGGCAAGGTAGGAACACATGTTCTTATCTATAAATCGGGTTGGACAGCAGTGCTAAGGGTGATGTGAAGGTCTTGATCACACATGAAACGCTTCATTACAAAGGTCGTCAGTGGTTATCAGATCTGCTTTCCTTAGAGGCTTCAGTACTTTTGTAAAAAGTTGAGGTCTACTTAAAAGTCTGTGAAGTGCAGATTTCTACCATCCTGAGACTACTTCTCCCCTTTGTAATAGTGGCATCTCCCCAAGCTGCTCAGCATCTAAATGCTGCAGAAGGATGATGCAATACTATTTCTAAGTTGTATGAAAAAATCTTAAAAATTCAAAAAGCAATTATTAATGAAGGAAAAACTGACCCTTCAGTACCATAATCAGTTTAAAATTCAGTCTTACGTTATTTGCTCCTTGAGATTCAGTGACATGAGAACATTTAATGACAAACCCTTTGCCCACAGGGAATCAAGTGGGAGGAAGCACTAGCGCAAAGAGAAGGGAAGGACCGGGTGTTCACCGCTAAGGTCAGTACATGCAGCACAAAGCAATCTAGAAGCCCAAGGTGCTACACAAATCCTATGTTCTAACTCAGCCGGTAATGTACAGTGAACTCAGTACAATTATAAGTGTTTCCTTTGAGTCCTGAGAGAGCAAGAGCCTTAAATCACAACCTACTGTGCCTATGGACAGGGCAGTCAAATTTATTTCAGAAGGAAAGCTCTGGTGCTGCATCCAATGCAGCAGAAAAGAACACTCAGGGCAGTTAGATCCCCGGTGCGCACAACAGCGAGGTGTGCCGCAAATAAGCCTTTGAAATGTTAAAAACAACTAGAACATACCCATGCAGTAATATTGCTTCAGTGCTCCTAATTAAAAAAATTTCTAAGCCTGCCTGGAAATTTACAGTATGGCAGAATTTTGTTTTTTCTATCTTGACCTTAACACATTAATATACAGATTTCACAACAGGGTCTGTGTTAAAAATCTAAACATTTCCACAAGATTTTAAATATCACCTGGGAACCTGAATTTAGAGGAAACAATAGGATAAAAGTACAATGCCCGTGACAGCCAACATTACATGCTGGGCTGTATGAGGTTGTTTAGAAGGCCAGGGTTAAAAAGATAGACGAGAAGGTTTTAAAAAGTCACCCCCGAAGTTGATGCTCTGATTTCAACACAAGTCCACCAGGTACTATAGTGAAGGGCAACACTGCAAAAAGATCATCTATTTACAGAAGAGTGATTTAAAGACATTATGGTTTTCTTTACAGATGTAAGAATAAGCATTGTCCACTTTAAAAAAATTCTACATTCCAACCTTCCACTATTATTATAATCCACTGAACTGCTTGTATCAAAGGCAGTTCTCCCCCATTTGACTCTGCAGTTCCATCATTTCTTCCTCATCCGTGGTCCAGGCTCTCCTGAAAAGTCTCTGGGCATAAGTCATGAGAAGGCAGGTTTTTACCTGCAGTTAAAAATAAAACCACCAAAAACTAGAGATCCCTCATCCACGCATGGTCCCACCCAGATCCCTCTTCTGTGCAGCTCAGTCATCACTGTCGGACAGCGTCTCATACTGCGCTGAGAGCAGCGGGGCCGGCTCTCGCTCCCAGATCCTGTTCTGCTGGTGAGGAGCTGCTTGGTTCACAGAGGCGGCAGTGCATGCGATCGGGGTTGGTGGCGTGCTGCTGAGCATCCGCATAGTCAGAGGGTTGTAAGGAAACTGAGTTGAGCCTGGCAAAAGAAAAATTAGGTGTTCATTGTCATGAGCATAGTCGCTGTTTTCACTTGATGGAGGCGGCCAGGATTATACTAAAATGATCTTGTAAAACTAAGCAAAAGGAAACAACACAGAGGGCCAAGTTTCCCCACTGGACTGTAGCCAGTGATAATGCAGCAGTCTAGAAAGGCCAAACAACATGAATACGCACGTGAGGTGAGGGTTGCTGAGTCCAGAAATGAAAGCTCAGGCCTGGATTTTAAGTCTAGAACTAGGTGTTTCCAGGGAATATAAGCAGAACTTCTGGATACGAAACTCTAACCAAAGGAGTGTGGTTACTCCCAGAACTTCCTGACTCTTACAGTCAAGGACACAGTGTCCATAGGATGAGGGGAGAAGTACCCAGGAATTTGCAGCAGGATCACACTGGGCAGATGTATGAATGTACAAGATTTAGAAGAGGGATACACATACCTAATGATAGCACTGCTACCTTTTGTCAGTTTCTAAATTATCTTATTGTCCCCAGAAAGTCTACAGATTCAGAACCTCTAACAGAAAGCATACCATTTTATTAAGTAATTTCATGAATGGTTTAATAATTCCTTCCCTAAGAGAGATTTGAGGACAATCACTGATCTAGGCAAGTCTTCAAACTAGTACATAAGGACTTCACATCTGGTGTCAGAATTTTAGGAATCAGAGTCTTCAATTATGCTGACAACACCCGTGTGAAATGTACATGTCCTCAGGGGAGGGCACCTTTCAGAGTTTCCCACTGACATCTGTACGTTAACACCTAAAGAAAGGGTGGCTTATAATTCTCTAAAACTTAATCCATAGCAAACATCCCAGTTTTGTTTTTACAAAAGGGTAAGTCTGTTTTCTAAAAGACACCATTATTAAGTCTTTTTAAAAAAGCAGCTTTCAAACGGGCACAAATGCTAGAGAACTATTTTCATCTGTCTGTAGGGATACAGTGCACCTAAAGGAGGGCGAGTGGCTTTTTTTAATTATTTTTTAAATATATATTTTTATTTTTTTTTTTTTACAGAGAGGAAGGGAGAGGGATAGAGAGTTAGAAACATCGATGAGAGAGAAACATCGATCAGCTGCCTCCTGCACTCCCCCTACTGGGGATGTGCCCGCAACCAAGGTACATGCCCTTGACTGGAATCAAACCTGGGACCCTTTAGTCTGCAGGCCGACGCTTTATCCACTGAGCCAAACTGGTTAGGGCGGGCAAGTGCCTTTTTAAACTGCTCTTTCCATCTCTGACTTGGATACCCTAGTGTTCCCTTAGAACCCTGGAGGGATGTCAGGGAAAGGCTGCAGGTGAGGCTGCCGGGGGAGTGGCACTTCACATCTAGGTAGAGTTAATTCATGCAGAACTGAAACCACAGACACACTTGCTTTGCAAATGCCAACATAACATAGAAGGGCGGATGGATGAGAAATTTCCGCATAGCTCTTCTTCTGTTCATGGTAATCAGACCCTGTGTTACTGACATTT